AGTGTGACATCTGCCATGGGAAGAGACAACTGATCGTCTTCATCAACCTCAATGTTAAATGGTATGATCTACATGATTTAAAGGGCACCTATTATGCAAAATTCTCTTTTACATGGTGTTTGAACATAAATGTTTGTTGGCCGTGTGTGTACACAACCACCCTATTACGATAAAAACCATAAGCACTGTCTCAGAACATACATTCGTTCATTTTTTTTTCATTCAAGTTTATTTCGAGCAAAATAAAATATGTCCTGATATCTATAATAATCACATCATATATAAAATATAACCATATCCTAGCATGTTTTGACGAACGAAATTCAAAGATCCAATTCAGTAAAATGATCTGAACTTCCTAATACTAATTATTATTCCGTGAGATGAGATTGTCCTGCCACTGAGCGCGAGCTCGTTAGGCTCCGCCCTCTGTGCCGGCAGCAGAAGCTCATTTGCATTTAAAGAGATACACACTAAAACGGCGTGTTTTTCTCAGCCCCAAAAAAATTACAATTTTAACACGTAAAAAATGATCTGTTGGGTATTATGAGCTAAAATTTTACACGCACACTTTAAAGACTTATTTTACATCTTGTGAAAAGGGGCATAATAGGTGCCCTTTAACATTAGTGTTACACAAGCATGGCTATTACTAAATACTACACTCAGACTTAAGTCTATTTACCTGGTGACTAGATTTGCAAAACCCTTTTACTTAAGCCTAGTTCACACTACATGGTTTTAAGCCCGATTTAAGCCCAATTAGCAAATCGTTGAGCTCCCCGACATCTCAGTGTGTTATCCCGTGCAAATTGCAGAGGATTAGCGGGCGATGAGCGCTCGCCAATCTGTATGTATGAAAAAACCAACAACACATCAAAGACGCCTCACAGTCGCCGAACCCAGAAAGATTTCTGTCATGCTAGATATCCAGAGCTGTCGCATGACTCAACCTCATGTGATGTCATGACTCATGAGCTACAGCCAATCAGAGCAAAGCATGGGTTGAGGTCACTGGGTAAATCTTATTTTTTCTTGCATTTTTTATCAGAGCAAATCATCGCGCGAACAGTTTGCAGCACTAGTTTCTGTCTGATCTGTTCTGTCCATATTCGCGTGTTGTGTTCTTCGTCTTCTTCGCTGGGTATTGGCGCGCGTGCTGTTTTGCGTAATTCCCGGTTCGTTTATCGCGTGATTTTAGTGCGTTACCTCCAGTTGCGGATCAATCACGTTGTGTCGTGTGGTGTGAACAGCTCAACAACTTGAACACTCCTGATTTCACAGAGAGCAAGTCGTGTAGTGTGAACCGCACAGTTCAGCCCGAAGTTTTAAAATCATGGAGTGTGAACTAGGCTTTAGAAGACTGGGTGTTTTCCACATATTGCACATTGCAGTTTCCCTCATTCAAAAGTAATAGGAGTAAACCGTCTTTCTATATCTATAGTCTTTGAGTTAACTCCCTCATTTGCTTCAGGCATAAATCATGCAGAGAAATCATGCAGAGCTGTGCTGTTATTTTTCTAATCGATCATGCTCATGATTTTTTTCATTAAAATGCACATACATTCATTTAATGATATTCAGAATAGTCTTTCAAACTGAACTTTCTCATTCTGAAATCTATTTTTTTTTGGATCATTTCAGGAGCACTGAGAAGGATGATTTTGTAGCACAAGATGTGAGTGGTCTACGAATGGAAAATCTGGAGAAGGTTACAGGGAAGGAGCTCTTCAAAGACGCCCAGTATATGGTAAGCACAGACTGTACATATTGTAGTGAGCAGTAAAAAGAAAGAGCAAAAAAAAAGTAGTATCAATTTTGATATTTTTAGGTCAAACCGTTATCAGTCATATAATGGAGGTCTATGGTCACCACCTCAAAGAGCATGCACAGAGAAGTCCAGATTAAACATGATTTAATGACTCGCAAATGTAAGTATACATTGATGGCCTAAGACATGAAACGAGCGGTTTGTGTGAGAAAACGAACGGCATTTATATCGTTTTTACCACAGCCACATCCAAGCGATCTGAGGGCGCGGAAATCGAAATCGTCTTCCATTGCGATTTCATGTATATCTAAATATGTTTAGATCTTCACAGTGAAGGGTAACGCTTCCGAAATCTCTGTGTAAACAATGTGTGACGTACACGCACGAGAGATCACTTCCTGGGCTTTCCAGTGCATGCACAGCCCGCTCCCTCAGAGTTAATGGACGTGACTGTGATTACAAGAGGTAAAAACGATATAAATACTGTTCGTTTTCTCACACAAACCGCTCGTTTCGTATCTTAGGCCATCAATGTGTACTTACATTTACGAGTCATTAAATCATGTTTAATTTGGACTTCTCTGTGCATACTCTTTGAGGTGGTGACCATAGCCCTCCATTATATGACTGACAGACAAGAACGGTTTGACCTAAAAATATCAAAATTGAAACTACTGCGGAAACAAAGACACCTACATCTTGGATGCCCTTGAGGTAAGCTAAAACATATCAAAAATTAATTTCAAAGTTAATCAGATGTATTCGTTTACTGTAGGTCTATCCTGTGACGGGCTTCCCAGACTTTTCTGTTGCGCAAGCTTCTGAGCGCTTAGTAAGAGAACATCAGGTGAAATACGCCCAAACCTCCCGCATATTACAACAGGTACAGCTCTACTTTTTATAATTAGATTTTTTATTCATAATTTCTATGTTTTGCATAGAAAATGTAATGCTCGAACTTTACCGTATAAATACATTTGTTTGTAAATAGAGACATGCTTAATCTTGAATCTGTCGTTCTGTAATTTCATCTGTCCTGTTCCAGAGGCAGACCATCGAGCTCATTCCCATTACCAAAGTGAGTTACAAGTGGAAAGGAAAATCCTATGTTTACTATGTGTATGGAAATGAGTTGAAAGTGAGCGCTGACGACTATCCCGCCACCTGCTGCTGTTCTGTGATGTAACATCAAATACACCTGACCTGACATACAGTAGAAGTGTAATAGAAATACTGTATGTCCATTTAAGATGAACAAATGTAATGATTCTGACATATAGGCAAAATATACATCAACACTTAACAGACAGAAGTCATCATCATGTAACTCAATATAACCAAATGTGAATTACTAAACCTCTCTTAGATGAATACACTTTTTATATCATTATAAATAATAACAATATACTAAAATGTGAGATTTTTTTTACTGTGTCATAATTGATTCATGTTACTGGACATTGATGATTAAATAATTGTTTTTAATTACATTTTGATATGTAAAGGGCAGTCAAACGATTAATCGCATCCAAAATAAAAATTTGTGTTTACATAATATATGTGGGTGCTGCACTGTATAATTATTTTTTATATATAAATACACACACATGCATGTATATATTTAAGAACTATTTTCATGTACTGTATGTAGATTTATATATAATTTATATTATATATAAATATTTTATATATAATTAATATTTTTTCTTAAATATACATGCATTTGTGTGTATTTATATATACACAAAATAATTATACACAGCACACACACATATATTATGTAAACACATACTTTTATTTTGGATGCGATTAATCATTTGACAGCCCTAGTGAATTTTTTTTTTCTTTTGGTTCGCCAAAAATGCTGTTATAAAATGTGACTATGAAATTCATAATCACACATTGTCATCTTATTCTCTGTTGTAGTAGACATGTACAAGAAGTGACCGTTAAATAGATGTTACACTATGATTGATCTGTTATTTTTTAATGGTTCCAAACATACTAAAATCAAACTCGAGAACTAATAATGTGCATGATTTAAAAATGTTTGCAGACATTCACTATGGTTTCAGAAACCTTTTTGCTGGCATTGATTGCATGTGGTATGTTGGCCATAGTGTTGAATGGAAAATGTGTTTAAAGGTGCATTGTGTAGTATTTAGGAGGATGTGTTGCCAGAAATGCCGTATACATAACTAGTATTATATTAAATCCTATATTTTCAGTGGTGTATAAAGATCTGATCCGTTGTGTTTCTTTACATTATAGTTTTTATGTACATACACAGTGGAAAGCCTGTGGTTATGTGGTCATAAAGTCTTCATTGGTGGTCTTGTGCTGAATTTCCATATAAAATGACCACAAACCAAAGCTGACGGATGTACTAAAAACTTTTTTTTAGAAACTAAAGAGCAGCAAAAAATGACAGCTATAGCTTTGATTATATAAATATTACACTGATGTAACACACTTTATTAATTAAAAAAAAAACGTACATTTCTTTTCTTTTAATTGTTTCCCTGTTTTATTAACTACCAATACATCCATCACCATCCATTTCACTGCCATCATATATTTTGTGTTGTATGCGACTTCTGTGCTCCATTGTCTCTATTAATGTGTCAGAGAGAAAGCTGCGGTTGTTGTCTCAAAATGACCAGGAGCAAAACAAACAGGCATTTAATTAGAGATGATTTTTGCAATATGTTTTCTCAACTTCATATTTCCTTTCAAATTTTATGCACCATTTATTCAGAATTATTTAGTTTCTCTTATTTTATGACAGCTTGCATTATTTGCATGGATCAGCAAATTAGTTTGATGTAAATCAGATTAAAAATCAAATTAGATAATGTTTTAGATAATGATAATGTCCAAATTAAAAATCTATATTGCACTCGCAGACCTTAATTTCATAAAGTTGTGGTGTATTAACTGGAAATGGTTGTTTAATTTGAAATTACCATCGTGATCAGTTTTTCCATTTTTTTTGTTTTTGTTTTTTTCATAATAAAATAAAACTAAGTTCTTCTGCACCAGTTTGTTAATGTCGCTGAAGGGAACAGTGGTCATGGAGGTGAGCTTTAAACCACCAACTGATTTTTTTTTTTTACCATTAAACGACACCACTCACCACTCATCGAAAGAAGCATCTTTCTCCTCCAATCATAACTCATAAGCGTCAGATTATTTGCTTCTGTAAAGCTATATAATCTGTAACCCTCTAGTCTGATTTGTGAAGCAGCTCTGACAAATAAAAAGGTAAGTCTTTGATTATTTCTATGTTTAAAACAAAACTTATTTGGTTATAATATATAAATAAATTATAGTATGAAATGAATGATGTGTTAATTAATTGCTATATAAATAATATGCAATGTGAATGCATGTGCTTATTTTCAGCTAATTAAACTTAATATTTGTAGGTAAACTGATAATCTGAAAAGTTGCAGTATAATTCATGATGTTAAGCAATTTGCCTTAATTTGTCGTAATTTATTTGTTGCAAGCATGTTTGACAGCATCCCGGGATATGAAGGAACTTCGGGTGACGGAGGTGGTAATATTAATTGCTTTCATTTTTTACTATATATATTATTCAATTTGTACACTGTAAAAAAATATTGTTGGTTTAACTTAAAAAAGTATGTAACCTGGTTGCCTTAAAATTAAGTTGATTGAACTGGAAAAAGTGTATTAATACAATGAAGTAGATTAATTTAACCATCAGAAACTCAAAAATATATGTTATCTGAACTAAATAAATTATTTAAGTTGATTTGACAAAAGAAAAAAATGTTGTGATTACTACACTGTAAAAATATATTGTTGGTTTAACTTAAAAAAGTAAGTAACCTGAGTTGCCTTAAAATTTTAAGCTGATTGAACTGGAAAAAGTGTATTAATACAATGTAGTAAATTAATTTAACCATCAGAAACTCAAAATAATAATTTATCTCAACTAAATAAATTATTATAAAGTTGATTTGACAAAAGAAAATATGTTGTGATAACAAATCTTGAAAATATTTTTTACAGTGTAGGTCATTAATACATCATATACCATTATTACTGCAATAATTAATAGGGCTCCTATCATATAACTTATTTTTTAAGAAACAGGACGTAAAAGTGGCATAGCATTCAGAAATTGGTGCTTGATAAGATTTATGTTTTTGAAATTAGTCATCATACTACATTTATTTGATCAAAAATTGTGAAATAGTATTACAATTCCAAACAACTAATTTATTCATGTGATGCAAAGCTGAATTTCCAACATGCGTCACATCATGATCCTTCAGATATCATTAAAATGCTGATTTGCTGGTCAAGAAAAAATTCTCATTATTATCAATGTTAAAAACAGTTATGCCACTTCATATTTTTATTATCATATTCTTTACAGAAGAAAAACATTTATTTGAGATTGAAATATTTTGTTACAATGTAAAACACTTAACTATTACTCTTTAACCATTTTATACATTTTTGCAGAATAAATGTTTTAATTTATTTAAACTTTGCCTTATTATGGGTGAAACAATCGGAAATGGAAGAAAAGCATTTATAAGCGGATGATGTGCTGACTTTCATGGTTGCATTTGTATAGCTTTTAGATTTCTGCATTAAGTAAGAGAATGTGGATGTTGAATGTGTTGCTCAAGTTATAACCACTGGTCTCTCATGTGTTTCTCTTGTCACAGGTGTGTATCTTCCTCCTCCAATGCCCTCTGTGCTGATGCCTGTGCCGGAAGCCTCCAGCCATCCGGAATGGCAGTACGTTTTTTTTGTTTTTTTTTGTTTTTTAGTGAAGTTACATTCATAAATATATTGGTTTCAATGCAGCTTTACATTAATAAACAGAAAAAATAACATTGGGGCGGTTCACTTTTCTGTTGTTTTTTCATGTAAACGCACAGGGACCATAATGCAACCGTTGCGCTCGTGTCTAGGGCATGATGTGGCATTCTACAAAAAGGGCGCTTAAGTTAAAAGTCGGTCAATGTGTCTCTAAACCTTTGCTTTTTTCCTTCCACTGACCTGCTTCTCGTTTTTTTTCTAAATTTTTTGTACAATAAAAAGGCGTTCTTTGTAAACAAGCCCTAATGTTGCAAAATAGAGAAGGAAATGAATAGTTGAATAAAGTCGTTATTTTTCTTTGTTTTTTGCGCGCAAAAAGTATTCTCGTCACTTGATAAACTTGATTGAGCCACTGTAAACACTCGGACTATTTTAACGATGTCTTTCATAACTTTTCTGGGCCGGCAAAGTTCCGATACCTTAATTAAGAAGCCTATGGAGGAGTGATCCAGCTCTCAGATTTAATCAAAAATATCTTAATTTGTGTCTCGAAGATGAATGAAAGTCTTATGGGGTTGGAACAACATGAGGGAGAGTAAATACTGACAGAATGTTCATTTTAGGGTGAACTATTCCTTTAAAGTACTTTTATAGATTCAAAAGTAGGCTACTCCATGCAAAGACACTAATTATAAGTTATTTGTGTTTCGGATGTCTTAATTTCTTCAACTGACTTGTGTTGCATGTTCATAATGCATGTAATTCAACATTCATGTCTATTAATATTTTCTTGTTAGCGGCAACATACCTTCCATCTCAGAGGAGAGAGCACATGAAGCTTTTGAAGATTACGTCTCCAGCAAGTGCTGCTATCGTTCTGGCCCCGTCAGAGATGGAGTTATTACCAACATGGAGTCTTTTAACACCTACAGGGTGAGACATGAACCATTTCCATTTTGAGCTTAGCGATTACCATCATTCTGTGTATTATTAGTAGACAAACATAATATAAATCTGTCGTTGTTTTGGCTTTAGAGAGCCGAATGTGGTTAGCAATATCAATCTGAGTCTCTTTGTTCTGCTTCTGTTCTCAGTATCGTTTGGAGACGTTCACAGAGTCCAGATCTACTAAATTGAGTCAGGAGCCATACAGAGGTAGCCTACCAAAAGTCAATCCACCAGTCTATCATTAGTGGTGCAAGCATCACCATGACTATTACTAATACTTGGAATTGGATTTAAACAAACCTCTATATACCTCTTGTGATATACAGATATGAATGATATCAAATTGTGCAGCTTATTGAGTAGATGTGTGCTATTAGGAAATGAAAAAAACCTTGAATTCACAGGAGAGACTATATAGGGACGGAATATCATAAGCTTCCCATTAACCTATTTTTCTGCAAAATTTGGATTAGCACAAAAAAAATGCTGGATGGTAATGCCAAGATACGCATACATAAAAAAAAAATGCAAAACCTTACATAGGGAGACATGCACATAAATTAAGATGCCACATTTACTTAATAAACCCCTTGATGCACAACAAAAACTTGTGTGACAATTTGCCTCAACAGAGGATGTGATTGGACATTTTGGAGCATTTTTGGGCCAGTAAGCAACTACCCATAGCACCCTATTAATGAGCTAAAACATAGCAACAGGTTTTGTGCCGTTAATTTTTTGCAATTAAATCTAAACCTTGTTCCCTGGCTAAATCATTGCCTAAACTCTTTTGCAGGGCAGCATGCCGATGCTGGGATTCAGCGTGCTCCTGAACCATGGGAGATTGCAGCTCAACCTCCGTCCTACTTTACTGAGCACAAGGAGACCATTAGAGTGCCCTACACTTCCTCAGTCAAGGTCTGATCAACAAGAAGAGTTCAAACAACAGAATGCGCAGTAAACTACTATATCAGAACAATTTTGTAACCACAATCTATGGAGCTTTGTTAGCACTTCATTTTAAGGTGCCCCTATTATCAGAGAATGTCTTATTGAAGAGAATTGGCACTGGCTGGTTACTTCCTGTTTCTGGACTGGCTGCAGTAACGCGTCTCTGTCCATGCGGGGGCGCTCGTGTTCAAGTGCAGAATGATTGGGAGTCAATGGGGTTTCACCCCCAGAAAATGTAATTTTTTGTCAAGTAATTTTAAAGTTGCATTCAAAAGGGAGGGCTAAGATAATACACTCAGCTGAAAATTGGATTTTTAAGTTCACTTATCTGTTGTTGTTTTTTTTAAACAATAAAATAATAATTTTTTTTTTTTACTCTAGAAATGTGACCCATGCAGTGGAATGGGAAAAACACCCTGTGTTTTTTGCATTGGAAGTGGAAGCGTAAGTGACGATTGACTGGCTAACACCAGGCTTATTATTATTAACGGAGTTGTTTTCGGTGTACATGGTTATTATAGAAGGTCATTTAATGGGACATAAATCTAGAGACACTTTTATTTGTGTCTCTATGCAGAAAGTGTGCTCTTGGTGTAACGGTTCTGGCCAATGTCCTGATGGGGCCTGCTATGCATGTGGCAGTAGTGGACGTGAAAGGTAAGTCTGCCATTCTCCATCTACTGTAGTAACTGTACTAGCTTTTAAGAAAGGAACACATCAATTGGTCTTTTTTAATAAAAAAAAAAAACAAAATATGAATATAAAAATTTAAACATAAGACTTGCTCTTTTTGACCAATTCATAAGAATCAAAAGAACTGAGACATTTGTTCACATCTCAGAATGGCTGCTGTTAGAAAGAAAAAAGTTTTTGCACCAACCAAACAATCTTTTACTCTCATCATATTTTATTCGAGCCCTTAATGTCCTGAACATGTTTTAATTATTTTATCTGAGTGTTTGTTTGGCAACTTCCAGATGTAGTTCATGTGGCGGCATCGGCTTCCACATATGTAACACCTGTGATGGAAACGGACAGCTACTCGTCTTCATCAATCTCATAGTCGAATGGTATTATATATTCACTGTATACTAACCCTATAAACTCAAAGTGAACTGTCTCATTCTGAAAGCTATACTATTGGATCATTTCAGGAGCACTGAGAGGGATGAATATGTAGGGGAAGATTCGAGCGGTCTAAAACAGGAAAAGCTGGGGAAGGTTTCAGGGAAGGAGCTCTTCAGAGACGGCCAGATTATGGTAGGAACAGATATGCAGAAAGTTAAAGATAAAAGAAAGACTTAAAAGTGGCAGAAGATGGTAAACGTGGTTGAATGTTTACTGTAGGTCTCTCCAGTGCTGGGTTTCCCTGATGTTTCTGTTGCACAAGCATCTGAGCGTATAATAAGGGACCATCGGGTGAAATATACCAATAACTCACGCATATTACAGCAGGTACCTGTTGTTTTATTCTCAATTTTAAAAATAAAAAGAATTTCCATAATAAGAATAATGCTAAAGTTTTGCTATGTAATTATCAGTCTATGACAGTAGACTTGGTCTTGTTTACATGCACTATAATATTTAGTTTTTAATAAAATTATATATATATATATATATACATATATACATATATATATATATATATATATATATATATATATATATATATATATATATATATATATATATATATATATATATATATATATATATATATGTCAACATGAATCCACAATACTGATGAAACCTGAATCTGGTTCAGTAATTCAATATTTCCTTGTTCCAGAGGCAGACCATTGAGCTCATTACCATAACAAGGGTGAACTACACTTGGAAAGAGAAGCCCTATGTTTACTATGTGTATGGAAATGAGTTGAAAGTGAACGCTGAGGACTATCCCGCCACCTGCTGCTGTTCTGTGATGTAACATCAAATACACCTGACCTGACATACAGTAGAAGTGTAACAGAAATACTGTATGTCCATTTAAGATGAACAAATGTAATGGTTCTGATGTAACTGGGTCATTGATTGTGATGTTCATTTCAGACCTGTACATCCAAACATCATAACCGCGGCGCTGACTGTGGAATTGATTAAATGGATTAATAAGAAAGTTCAATATGCATAAATAGAAACTATTTCTATAATAAATAAGTTCTGAGTATTATTGAATAATCATTGCAATTATTTGTCAGAGCCCGGTCAGAGCCTGACTCCACCCACTGGCAATATTTGAAAATGCTGAAAAAGTGGGCTGACCCCATGCAGCGGAGATAGAGGGGACGAAATAGATGTCTCCCTAAAGTGGTTTTGACGACACAAGATGGTTTAAGGGCGTAGCTCGCGTGGTGAGCTAAAACCTGTGTACGTCACAAAGTGCGGAACATCCAATAGGAAAATTCAACCTGAAGAGGGCAGCACTAAGACGCTTTTACACCATATATTGTAGAAATAAAACACTTTATAAACAAATGTCAAAAAAGTTACTCGAATCAATGACTGGTAAAGAATACAGATCCATTCTTAAAGATCATTAACTAAAAAAAAGTTGGTTTAGTGTTTAGTCACTGTTTAATTCATGCTTAACAAATGCACAAATCATGAGTTAATGGATGACTCCAAAGACCTAAACTATGAATTAATGATTACTGCATCAGCAACTAATAAAGAGTCTATACAGTATGATTAATAGATTAAGTAATAAATGAATTGCTATTAATTAAACATGTCATCGTGTATTAATTCCTTAATGACATATTTTATTAATACAGGAAATGTGAAGGAGAAGAACTGAAGTGTGAAACTGAGCAATAGTTCACAGTGTGTTAGAAAGCACAATAGTTTGACGCACGATGAAGCTTCTTTTTCAGGTCCTTTTGCTGGTTGTAATGTTCGCTTTACGTAAGTACACTGCTTTCTCCCGTGTTCACAGTGTGTACAAGTAATAAATCATACATTAAAACTAAACTATTGTTATTTGTTTTATCTAGAGAAAAGCCAGGAAGCAGAGTTTGATTACGGGGTTGAACCAACTTCACAGGTTTTCATTCAGTTGAGAAATGTGTTTGGATGTTTATTCTGTATGCAGTCTTTATAAACAGAAACTTAGATATAAACCTCTCTTAGCCCTGGCTTAGACTTCATGTAGAATATAGAAAATCATATAAATTTGTATTCATGTTGTTTATGTGGCTTTGTTGTACAGGTTATCTTTTCAGATATGTTCGAGGCAAGTTATTATGATTATGGAGATATGCAAGAAGATGTTGATGAAGTTATGGTCCAGCCAGATGATGAATCTGTGGAAAGTATGATCACTTTTTTTTTTTTCTCTATTCTCTGTATTAAAGGTCCTTGGATACAATTAAAATATTACAACTGACGTGTTTTCAGTTAAAGTAAACATGTTTTTTCATCATTTATGCCTTTTAATAAACTAATTAAAAAGCAACATTATTACTTTCCTCAAAACAATGACATTACATCATCTGGCTTCTTTTTGACACACATACTTGACAATTAAAGTCATTTCTGTACATTATTATGACAGTTATTTTTGCTAGGCTGGTGTTTAAATTAACATGAATGTTTGAAGATGTGTCCAGCTGTTGTTTAAATATCTAGTGCCAGCACATTAAAAGTTGTTAAAGATCCACAATATTGTTGGCAAAATTTTACAGTTTAGAAGTTGTATAGGCACACTTTTAGCTGCAGAAATTTGTAACATGTTCATATTTTACCAGCATGTTTGTGTTGTTTCAGATGTTACAGTGCCGAACATCACAGTGTACCGACAGATGGAAGACAGAGAGCATGATAGAGTCATAGTGGTGTGCATGTTTGACCAGATGTTTAAATGGGGATTCAGTTGGCGGATGGTGTCTTTTAAGCTGTCTGTGGAGAGTGAACTGAACTACACCACAGAAACAGAGGATTGCACTTCTTTAGAAAGAGAAACATGTGTGTATATGGTCACTGTGAGTCCACCTGCTTCCTTCACCTGTGAACATGAGATTTATTCTAATGGAGATTTCAAGAACCTGCGCAGCCAGACCTACACTTACAAGCGTTCAGGTAAAACAAATGCATCTCTGCTTTAGTATGTTTAGATTTTATCCCTGCTAGATGATGCAATATTGCCATGTGTTTGCATTTTCCTATTTCGAAACATTTTTATATGCCTCCGTCTCTCTATCTTTCTTTCTTCCTTCCTTATCTGGTGATGTTTGGGGAGTATAATTAGCCATTTAAAAATGTACAATAACAATAGAGCTGATCTTATGCGTCTGAGACTGTATTCAATGCAAGCCAAAACTTATTTTTGCCTGTCATTGCATTTCCATGCAGTCTTGGATCATCATGAGGAAGGAGCGTCTTTATTCTACATCTGCTTTTCCTCCTTCATTGCTGTTGGTCTCTTCATCATGACTGTGGCAGTGATCGTGACCACCATCCGAAGCAAAGCTAAAGGTGTGTTTACCAACAGTTTACTTATTTATAGCAGGAATGAATATCATGAACGTTCTGATGACCACAGTCTAAAACTGAAAATATGTACACAATGTGCTGAGAGAAAGTAATGAAAGGAAATGCATAAAGATTAACATGCAGGCTTTAGTTTTCTGAGCTGAAGGTGAAGTCAATGAACAGAGTTTCTCTTCCTCAATCTTATTGCTGTTGTGTAGACTAATGGCATCACACATCAGGCCTATAGTCAGAGCTCAATATATTTTCCAGGAAGTGTTTCTTGTTGATGTGAGGTGCATTCTGACATGCAATGCTTTTTTGAACACAACTCTGACATAAGTACGTGTTATAATCACATTTGTCCTTGTTGTGATTATGATCTGATGAGGTTTAGTGTCCTGAGTGTGTGTTCAGGATTAGATTTGATCAGTCTTCAGCTCCAGTGGTTTCCCAGCACACACAGACTAACCCAGTGAACTCTTTCTACACGTTTGTTAACACAGACTCCGTCATCAACCCCACAACTGTTACAGACAACGACTACATGGATGCATAAATAATCAGAAGACTTTCTGAAGAGAGAAGAACAGACCTGAAGAGGAGAAAACAACTTCTACTGCGCATTTACATTTTACAATTAATCATTTAGCAGATGTTTTTTTTTTCCAAAGTGACTTACAAATGAGAAGAGCAATAGAAGCACTCAAACCAACAGTAGCATATGGCAAAAAAAGTAAGTGCCTTTTTAAAAAATGTTTTTGTGATGATACAATTGTATTTTCTCATTAGGATAAAATGTGTATGTTGTAACATTCTTTATTTGTATATTTAGATAAAAATGCTTGCTAAATAAATTAATATAACAATAAATGATTAATTTACAGATGTAGCTTTCATTTCTTTCTACATCAGAGGGCAGTAGTTTTATGTTATTTTACACACATATGTCGTATATTATGATTGTACGGATTACTTGCATGAATTACTAGAGAATATGTTAATTCAAAAGAATATATGTGTGTATTTTTAGATTATCAGAATATTCTAAAGGAGAATCCCAAATGTCAGTGAACTAAAGCTTAACAGAAGGTGGTTAAGAAATCCTACAGTAAATTATTGAGTAATATTAGTGTTCACATCATTCGGTACAACAAGCCCAAATCTGTTCTGCGCATGTACATAACTAAATGAGGAAAAAATGTGTTTGCAAAGTTAATCAATGCTGTGCCACAGGAAACACATAATAATGGCTACTTCATGAGCTCAACTTTTGTGCAATATGTGATTATACTTCTTAATAATCTGTGTGAAACAAAATAAAATAGAAATATTAAATGAAGAATTGTAAAGGAGAATGACAAATGCCTTCACAACTAACTGGAATAAATTTAGGTAGCCTAATGGAGACAAATAAAGACATCTGCTGCTTCCATCAACCTAAAGAAGTCAAAGAGTGTCCTCAGGGTTAAAGCTGACCAAAATAGGCCTGATTTATTTCGAATTTGAAAAAAAATACCTTACAGAGTTGACAGGAATTGATGACAGATTTTAAAAGGCTGTTGTTAACACACTAACCCTAACCCTAATGCTGGTAAGTCCCGCCCATCCGTAAAACTCCAAGTGGACCTCTAGGCTGAAAAAGCGTCAATGCAAGTGAATGAGAGAAAATAATTATTTTCTGATCGAGATTGAATTGTGCCATGAATGTAACATATGTTGTCTGTGATTTTTTAAAATAATTTCTCATGTAACGAGTTTGACAGTATATTGTATGATTCTTTGGCTAGCAGTTGTGGAATAGACATAACGAGAAAGACTACACGTCGCATATGTGACGTCGCCGCATAACACATTATTTTCCGTCCACAAATCACGGTTTTCACCACGCTCAACTAAGTCCTCTCCCTGAAAGAAGGCGGTGAAGTGCACCAAAGACACAGGCATGTTTCGCGGCATCCGTGTGCTAGTGGGGGGTGATGTAGGCCTACATCAAACACGTCGAAAGAGTTGTAGTCCACAAAGTGCTCTCACACAAAGTCTAACCGAATGAAAATTCTACCCGCTAAATTGTAGCATTCTTTACACGAAACATTATATAAAAAATTCACAGACAACATATGTTCACATTCATTGCAAAATTCAAACGGGATTAGAAAATAATTATTTTGTCTCATTCACTTGCATTGACGATTTTTCAACCTAGAGGTCCACTTTGGGTTTTACGGGTTTATATAAAGCACACATCTCACATATTTCAACAGGGCATCTTATTATTTATTATGCATTTCTTAAATAACTTTTGAGCTTAATTTTTGAGCGAAGCTAATGACGCTGTGAAGTGACGCTCGATTGATCAAGCTTTCATTCGATTCCTCCGTCCGTTCTCCTTTTCTTTTCTTTCTTTCTTTTTTTTTTTTTTTTGCGTCCTTCCCTCGTACAGGGGGTGGAGAAGCTGAGACGCGAGGAAAAAAAACCGAGGATGTACCATATAGGGCATGTACAAATAAAAATTGAGAGAAACACGCAGTGTAGCATGTTAGAAAGCACGATGAAGCTTCTTTTTCAGGTCCTTTTGCTGGTTGTAATGTTCGCTTTACGTAAGTACACTGCTTTCTCCCTCTTTAATATGTACAGGTAATAAATCATACATTAAAATAAACTATTGTTATTTGTTTTATCCAGAGAAAAGCCAGGAATACGAAGACGAGCCAGAATATTACTCTGTGGATTCTAGTATGATCTATTTTATCCCAATTTTCTAGTTTTCTCAATTCTGTAACTGTATTAAAAGTCCTTGAAATTGTATTTAAAAAGCCCTAATCTTACAACTGCCGTGTTTTAAGTTTAAGTGACTCTGTTTTTAGTAAACTATGCACTGGAAGTATTTTAATTACTTTCCTCAAAACAACATTGCATCATGGCTTCATTTTGCACACGACACAATACTTGATTATTAAAAGATGTTTTGTAAGTATTATGCAAGTTATTTTTGCTAGACTGCATGTGACATAAATGAGCATAAATAATATCATTTATAAATAGATATTATTTAAGTATCCAGTGCCAGCGCATAGTTGAAGATGCACGCAATTGTAAGCAACATTTGAGCTGCAGAAATTTGAAACATATTTCACCAGCATGTTGTTGTGTTGTGTTTCAGATAAGGCAGTGTTTGACATCACAATGTACCAACAGATGGAAGAGAGAGAGAAAAATAGAGTCATAGTGGTGTGCATGTTTGACCGAATGTTTGAATGGGAATTCAGTCGGTGGATACAGCCTTTTGAGCTGTCTGTGCAGAGTGAACTGAACTACACCAAGGATAAAGTCAATTGCAATTCTGTAGGTACTAGAATAACATGTGTGTATATGGTCACTGTGAGTCCACCTGCTTCCTTCACCTGTGAACGTGAGGTCAATTCTAATGAAGGTTTCATAAACATGCGCACAAAGACCTACATTTACAAGCGCTCAGGTAAAACAAATGCATCTCTGCTTTAGGATGTTTAGATGATACAATATTGCCATATGTTTGCATTTTCCTATTTTGAAACATTTTATATGCCTCCTTCTCTCTATCTTTCTTTCTTCCTAATCTGGGGATGTTCAGGGTGTTTAACAAGCTGTTTAAAAATGTACAATAATAATAGAGCTGAACTTTGTATGCGTCTATATGAGACTGTATTCAATGATATAAGCCAAAACATCTTTTTGCCTGTCATTGCATTTCCATGCAGTCTTTGATCATCATGAGGAAGAAGGAGTGTCTTCATTCTGCATGGGCCTTTCCCCCACCATTGCTGTTGGTCTCTTCATCATGACTGTGGCAGTGATCGTGACCTGACCACCATCAGGAGAAAGGCTACAGGTGTGTTTTAACAACAGTTTATGGATATTATAAAAGTTCTGATGACCACAGTCTAGAACTGAAAATATTTACAAAATATGAGAGCATGCTTTGTGCATTTCATTTCATTATTTTCTTAAGAAGCTCAAAGACTAACATGCAGGCTTTAGTTTTCTGTCAATGAACAGAGTTTCTCTTCCTCAATCTTATTGCTTGTAGACTAATGGCATCGCACATCAGGCCTATAGTCAGAGCTCAATATAGTTTCCTGGAAGTGTTTCTTAAAGTCTCACACAAGTTGTTGATGTGAGGTGCATTCTGACATGCAATGCTTTTGAAGACAACTCTGGCATAAATACGTGTTCTAATCACATTTATCCACATGTGATGATCTGATGGGCTCCAGTGGTTTCCCAGCACACACAGACTAACCCAGTGAACTCTTTCTACACGTTTGTTAACAGAGACTCCATCATCAACCCCACAACTGTTACAGACAACGACTACATGGATGCACAAATAATCAGAAGACTTTCTGAAGAGAGAAGAACAGACAGAAGAGGAGAAACATTTTAGCATATTTTTAGATTAGATTATAGATTTTATCATATTTCTCTAAAGTGACTTAAAATGCAGAGAGCAATAGAAGCAGTCAAAACAACAGTAGCCTATGGCAAAAAAATAAATAAAAAAAATTGTGTTCTCATCAGGATAAAATGTGTATGTTGTAACATTCTTTATTTGTATATTTAGATAAAAATGCTTGCTAAATTAAGTAATATTAAAGTAAAATTATTCATTTACAGATGTAGCTTTAATTTCTTTCTACATCAGAGGGCAGTAGCTTTATGTTATATTACACAAATATTTCTTATTACAGATTATTACAGATTGAAAAGATTGCTTTCATGAATTACTATGTTAATTACAAAGAATGTGTGTATTTTTAGATTATATCAGAATATTTTAAAGGAGAATCCCAAATGTCAGTGAACTAAAACTTAATAGAAGGTGGTTAAGAAATCGTGCAGAAATACAGAAAATTATTGAGTAATATTAGTGTCCACATCATTCAGTACAACAAGCCCAAGCCTGTTCTGCACATGTACATAAATAGTAAATGAGGAAAAAATGTGTTTGCAAAGTTCATCAATGCTGTGCTAGTTTATGGCCAGCAATATTGTTATGTTTAAGGAAGGACATTATGGAATTGAGATCATGTCTGTACTACGTTATGATTGTACTGTACAATTAAATACAATCGTTGTTTATTAGTCTGCTGTGTACGAACTGATTTTCCTGCTGAAGACAAAAGCTGAGATTAGCATAAAAAAATAAAATGCACCCTGGACAAAAGATCGCAAGAGCACAGGACATTGTCCTGTCCAAATGTTTCCTCTACCTTATCTCTCCCTCCTCCCTTCCCCCCTGACCTAAATTCACTAAAAGTTCACTGAAAAATGTCTATATATCACATATGATGTATCTTGTGAATCTAAGGTTTTTTCTTTTCATGTTTGGTATCATTTTAAGTGTCTCAGTGCGATTGGTAAAACCACGTCTGGTCGCTATTCTGACCAGCCCGGCAAACCCAACCGACTGCTTAAAGGTGACCGAGGACTTTTCAAAGGGTCAGTTAAAGGGATACTCCACTTTTTTTGGAAATAGGCTCATTTTACAACTCCCTCAGGGTTAAACATTTGGGTTTTTACTGTTTTCGAATCCATACAGCCGATTTTCTGATATTTAGAAGAATAGACAGTTTTTGGTCTCATTGACTTCCATAGTAGGAAAAAAATATACTATGGAAGTCAATGAGACCAGAAACTGTCTGGTTACTGATATTCTTCTAAATATCAGAAAATCGGCTGAATGGATTGGAAAACGGTAAAACCCAACTGTTTAACTCTGGGGGAGTTGTAAAATGAGCTTATTTCCAAAAAAAGTGGAGTATCCCTTAAACATCCTAGGGAGAACACCACAAAGTGTAATGACACTTTCTGATGCTGAGCAACACAAACAGACTTGAAACCACGAGTCATTCCACAGACTGAACCACCAAGAGATGTGACGTCCTATCCAGCTGCTGCAGCATCCACCATGCGCAATACGCCTTCACTTAAAGGGACTGTGTCACAGAGGTGTATTCTCCAGGGCTTTCATTTTAATACTCAACCTGTCTTAATGCTGTTATTTATTTCAGGTGACTACTTGATTCCTGCACCCATCGACTAACGCTGCAAACTACAGGTGTCAGCCAAATGACCACTCAGAATATCACACTGAAAATGTGGAAACAGGAAAATGTCTAAAAATTTCCCCTTAGGTCTGTAAGAACTGATTTTCCTGCTGAAAACAACAGCTGAGATCAGCATAAAGCAATAAAATGTACCCTGGACAAAAAAGAGCACAGGACATTGTCCTGTCCAAACGTTTCTTCTACTGTACCTTATCTCTCCCCCTTCCTTTCCCCCTGACCTAAATTCACTAAAAGTTCACTGAAAATGTCTATATATCACATATGATGTATCTTGTGAATCTAAGGTTTTTCCTTTTCATGTTTGGTATCATTTTAAGTGTCTCAGTGCGATTGGTAAAATGGTCTTAATTTCAGGAGTACAGGGATTGGGGTACAGGAACTCTGAAAGATATTGGTACAACCCTTTTGTTCTGGTCTGGGTATTTAAGGCTGGGTAACAGAGCAGTCTTCGGGAACCTGTAACCAGGAAAACCCCCATACAGTGCTGTGTCAGCGTTTTCCCGGTGGAAAGCACTCACACACTACTGTGTGTCTCTGTCAGGAATGCATTGCTTAGCTACTTTTAGAATCATCTTTGAGTAATTGATGTTGTGTATTTATTATTTCTGAATTGGCTGTTAATTACTTGGGTAATTGGCATGATACATTTTTACCTAACAAAAAATGTTACATCTTGATTTATTCTGAAATCATCATTTTAGTAGATTATAGGAGGCTGCGCTACCGCAAATCTTGCGGTAATAATCTTGGTCCTCAGCGTTAAAGCTGACCAAAATAGGCCTGATTTATTTTGAATTTGAAAAAATACCTGACCGAGTTGACGTGAATTGATGACAGATTTTAAAAGGCTGTTGTTAAAGTATAAAATAATGCAGTGTTCACTTTAAGTATTTTGTCATATTTTATTAAGCCATCCAATAACCTCATATTCATATTTGTGCATTTTGGGCGTTTTAATAACACTAATGTATGCTATACTTTACCTTTAACCTAGATTATATAAAGCACACATCTCACATATTTCAACGGGGCATCGTATTATTTATCATGCATTTCTTCAATAACTTTTGAGCATCATTTTTGAGCGAAGCTGATCAAGCTGTTGATCAAGCTTTCATTCGATTCCTCCGTCCGTTCTCCTTTTCTTTTCTTTTTTCCTTTTTTTGCGTACTTCCCTCGTTTCCTACAGGGGTGGAGCTGAGATGTGAGGAAATAAAGCGAGGATGTACAAATTAAAATTGAGAGAAACACGCAGTGTACGTTAGTGTGTTAGAAAGCACAATAGTTAGAGACACGATGAAGCTTCTTTTTCAGGTCCTTTTGCTGGTTGTAATGTTCGCTTTACGTAAGTAGCCTACATTGCTTTCTCCTTCTTTAATATTTTCAGGTAATAAATAACACATTAAAAATAAACTATTGTTATTTGTTTTATCCAGAGAAATGCCAGGAGGAATACTACGCAGACGCTCCAGAATATTACTCTGTGGATACTGGTATGATCTAATTTTATCCCAATTTTCTAGTTTTCTCAATTCTGTAACTGTATTAAAAGTCCTTGAAATTGTATTTAAAAATCCCTAATCTTACAACTGCCGTGTTTTAAGTTTAAGTGATTCTGTTACTGAGTAAACTATACACTGGAAGTATTTTAATTACTTTCCTCAAAACAATGACATTGCATCATGGCTTCATTTTGCACACGACACAATACTTGATTATTAAAAGATGTTTTTGCTAGACTGGTGACATAAATGAGCATAAATAATGTCAAATCAAAATGTGTGCAGATATTATTTAAATATGCACACAACATTTGAGCTGCAGAAATTTGAAACATGTTCATATTTCACCAGCATGTTGTTGTGTTGTGTTTCAGATAAGGCAGTGTTTGAGATCACAATGCACGAACAGGTGGAAGACAGAGAGAAAAATAGAGTCGAAGTGGTGTGCATGTTTGACCGAATGTTTGAATGGGAATTCAGTCGGTGGATAAAGCCTTTTGAGCTGTCTGTGCAGAGTGAACTGAACTACACCAAGGATAAAGTCAATTGCAATTCTGTAGGTACTAGAATAACATGTGTGTATATGGTCACTGTGAGTCCACCTGCTTCCTTCACCTGTGAACGTGAGGTTCATTCTAATGGAGATTTCATAATTATGCGCACAAAGACCTACACTTACAAGCGCTCAGGTAAAACAAATGCATCTCTGCTTTAGATGTTACATCCCTGTTAGATGATGCATTTTCCTATTTTGAAACATTTTTATATGCCTCCTTCTCTCTATCTTTCTTTCTTCCTTATCTGGGGATGTTTGGGGAGTATAATTAGCTATTCAAAGATGTAAAATAATAATAGAGCTGATTTTTGTATGCGTCTGTATATTGACTTGGACTACAGACTATACAGACTATACGGATCATCATGAGGAAGAAGGAGTGTCTTCATTCTGCATGGGCCTTTCCCCCACCATTGCTGTTGGTCTCTTCATCATGACTGTGGCAGTGATCGTGACCTGACCACCATCAGGAGTAAGGCTACAGGTGTGTGTTTTAACAACAGTTTATGGATATTATGAGAGTTCTGATGACCACAGTCTAGAACTGAAAATATTTACAAAATGTGAGAGCATGCTTTGTGCATTTCATTTCATTATTTTCTTAGAAGCTCAAAGACTAACATACAGTCTTTAGTTTTCTGAGTCAATGAACAGAGTTTCTCTTCCTCAATCTTATTGCTTGTAGACTAATGGCATCGCACATCAGGCCTATAGTCAGAGCTCAATATAGTTTCCTGGAAGTGTTTCTTGTTGATGTGAGGTGCATTCTGACATGCAATGCTTTTGAACACAACTCTGGCATAAATACATGTTATAATCACATTTGTCCACATGTGATGATCTGATGAGGTTTAGTGTCCTGAGTGTGTGTTCAGGATTAGATTTGATCAGTCTTCAGCTCCAGTGGTTTCCCAGCACACACAGACTAACCCAGTGAACTCTTTCTACACGTTTGTTAACACAGACTCCGTCATCAACCCCACAACTGTTACAGACAACGACTACATGGATCTGACGAGAGAAGAACAGACCTGAAGAGGAGAAACAAACTTCTACTGTACATTTACATTTTACATTTAATCATTTAGCAGACGTCTTTTTACAAAGTGATTTACAAATGAGAAGAGCAATAGGAGCAGTCGAATGAACCAAATGATTTGAAAAAAGATTTGTTCATTTTGATGTTTGTTTCATTTGATGAACGAGTTCGAACAGGAGAGTCATGAACGCGCATTGAATGTCTTAAGGGCTGCACGTGCATGATATATTGTTTTAACATCCATATTGCAATGTGCGCATCCGCGATAGACACATCACAGGATGTGCGATGTCAAGTACAGACTTTATATATGCCAAAGAAACAAGCTTGCAGCCATCTTTAGAATTTTGTCTTTTAACTGACTTTTTTTTTTTTTTTTGCGGTAGCTCTGTAAATTACTAAGGCATCTCTGTCGAAGAGTAATTAGCTGGTGAAGTGGATTTACTTATTGTAAGTTACCATGAGAATTGTAATGTTTGAAGCGGATGTCATATCAATACCGGATAATTTTAAAATGAGTGGTTCATTCATAAATCCGTAAGATCTTACCCTCATGCTATGGAAATACAAACCGGAAGACAAAAAACACAACGAGCGCAGCGCTGAAAAGGGCCGTGGCTACTGTACATACGGCCTATAGTGATCATCAGTTGATCCATACTGACCAGGCATCACATTTCAGTTGAAACACGTGATTCTCGGATTGATTGCAAAGTTTAACCATCATAGAGCAAAAGTTCATCATTTATATGTGCTTTAGGTTCTGTCAGTTTAAACATTTAAATGATTTTAAACCATTCTAGCGCAAGAAGATGCGAAAGAAAACTTAATTATGAACCTGTCCGCTGTTTTCTGTGCACAGACAGCACGCAAACAACGAATTCCTTTCTCTTCCGTGTCCATCCGTGCTTGAAAGGACTCATACATGCAAAATTATATCAAAATGCCCGTTTCGGTGAGTTTTCTCGTAAACACAGTCGCTTATGAGAAAGAAAACGGATGTTTATCATTGTATTGGACCTTTGCATTCGGTGTTAAAGTGACAGCAGCCTAATCTTGGTGCTGTCTGTGTCATTAATGTTAATCAAAGAACAAAATAAAGGAAATCCCTAAATGAAATTATATAATGAAATTATATTTCATTTATACAGTGAAGAATACAGTGCTATTTTACATTTCATTATTCGATTTTTGTACCTGAATACTGTAAGTCTTGCATAAAGCTATGTTTATTTCATTTGTATCTTTGTTCTATTGTATTCATCTATGGTGGTAATTTGTTTGTCCTTTCAGGTTCAAAATCACCCGTCATACTACAATGATTCATTCTTTACAAATAGAGCAATTCATCTGGTGAAGTTGCAATAAATATTGCAGAAAACCAAAATATCGCAATGTCATTTCCAATATCGTGCAGTAGTTGCAAGAGCAGCACAAAGAATTTCAGTATATTTCCCAGTTCCTTCCTGTTACGCAAGAACAGCATATAAAATGTTTAGATTCAGAAGACACTGTGCCTTTTTCTCTCAGATATCTCAATCCTTTTGAACCCTTATTTCTTTAAACTCTGATTTTCACAAACTTCATCTGATACAATACTGGATATTATTACTAAGATTTCTTTTTTGCTATTTCAATTTTCATATTTACTTGATTCATTCATTTGTCATTATAATTTTACAATTTCAAATTTGTTATTCCTTACTTTTATTGGATCTCTGCCATCATTCGCTCGTCTGCCTGGACCACACTGCATCAAGAATGAACATGCTTTATGTCCTTTTATTGGTCCTTTGGTCATCTTTCAGTAAGTAGATCACATTTCTTTGCCTCCGATTTTATCTGTAAAGACAGGAGACCATAGAATTGTTGCTAAGTTGGAGATTTTTTATACATTATATGCATTACTATCCGTATTCATTTGAAAAATATTTGAAAAGTCGAAGAATTTACAAAAAGTCAATATTTGTTTTTACAATGCCATCTAAAACATTTATCGTTCTAAAAACGGAGTACATTTCAATGACAGGTCCATCATCTAATGACTTTAATCTACACATTTTACTGCCAACATTCTTTTTTTTGGTGATATTTAAAATGAAGATGAACTTCAACTTTCAAAAAAAAAATTAAATTAAATTAAATGTAGATGAATAAGTGTAAAGGACAATAAGAAATGTTGTCTTCGCAACTAACTGGAATATATTGATGTTGAAGTAGGCCTACTAAAACTAATACTAAATAAAACAAAATTTTATTTTATTTTCTAAAAAGTTGTAATATGATTAAAATGAAAACAAAGCATTTAAAAATATGAATAGCATAATACTACAACGCTCTACGGCAATGTCAGTTATTTTTAAGGTAAAATTAGATTAAACTTGGACTAAACCATTACTGTAACTTATCTATCAGTACATACGTGCAACTTTATCAACTCAAAATATAATGTAAACACTGTCTAATAATGATGTCTATCCAGAGATATTTAGTTACAGTTGATGAGGACATAGGCTACTACAGTATAGAGTGAAAACATGATCATGCCTCCCATAGATGCACACAGATCCACAAATGCACAGGAGAATCCAGATTGCCCGGAAGAATCCACAAACTTCTTATGCTTATATATCATAACTTTGTGTATTTGTGTAATTTATTAAACAAGTAAACGCTAAAACATTTGTATTGAGACGTCTACTCAGGAAACCACCCGTGTTACATTTAAATATATACGCTTTTCTCAACTTGAACTCATAATGGTATTTTCTGCCTATTACAGTGTCTGATATAATGTTTCATATATTCAGACAGAACCAGCTCCTTCCTTATCTACAACAAGGACCACAACAAATGTGTGTATGCCGTGAGTGCTAGTGTAGTGCTGACTGCGCCATGCGACGCATCTTTCACAGCTCAGCGTTTCCTATGGATTTCCTCATCACGAATCATCAGCCTCGCTTTTAATCTCTGTTTGGGGGCCGAGAAGATCGAAGACGGGGCCAATGTTCTCCTTCTGCCCTGCAATGAGTCTAACCCCCAACAAACCTGGGAGTGTAAAGATGAGACCTTGCTTGGACTGAAGGGACATCCACTGCACTTGAACTATGGAGATTATGTCGAGCCAAATATGATGCTGTTCAATGAAACAGGAGTTTGGAGTCGCTGGCTGATTTATGGGACCAATGAAAATTTGTGTTCTCGTGGATATCAAGGTACGACCACCAAATATCCACCTAATAATGACTGTAAAATGTTAAATTAATATCCAATATGTATTAATTTCCCTGTTTCATTTCTCTATGTTCTGCAGAGATGGCTAGTAATCCTAATGGGAAACCGTGCTATTTCCCTTTTAAGTTTAATGGAGATGTGTACGCCGAGTGCACTGTGGATGGCAGGGGTGATGGTCATCTGTGGTGTTCCACAGAAAATGATTACGAAAAGGAAGAGTGGGGCTTCTGCCACCCAATAAGTAAGACAACATGACTATTCACCACAGAAACATCTTTAGGTTATTCCTTAATGAGCACGATAGACACTTTCTATAGACCTTATGCACCAGAGAAACGTGGGCGCCGTAGTCATCTTTAGAATATTGTCTTTGAACTTCCGGGCTATATTTCTATGGCATCGCTGTCGAGGAGTAATTAGCTTGTGAAGTGGATTTACTTATTGTAGAGTTAACAAAAGTTTTCACTAGCATTGTAACGTTTATCATAAGCATTGTAAAGCAGATATCTTAACAAATGTCGACCGGGAATTTTTTTTACGAGCAGTTCATTCATACCTATGCAAGATCGCTGTGAAAATACAGACCGGAAGTCAAAAGACAACGAGCGCAGAGCTGAAAAGGGCGGGGCTACATAAGGTGTAGTGAAGTGATGTCGTCACGTTGAAGGACAGCGCATGGGTTCCCTCGGTCGAAAAGCAATGCATTTTCCCCCAGTAGCACCTCAATGCAGAACATGAGATCCACGGGGAGGAGTCGGATCACGATCCAAGGGGTGGAGATGGGTAGGATTAGGGTTGGGTTTAGGGATTAGGGGTGGGTTTAGGGATCAGGGGGCGGAGTTGGTTAGGTTTAGGTGTATGTAAGGTGGGAGGAGTTGGATCTGGATCCGACTCCTCCCCGTGGATTTCATGTTCCGCAGTGAGCACCATCTCTTTTCCCCATAGACTTTTGGAAAAATCGCAAAAAATAAGATCTGTGTTCAACAAAGAGTTATGACCCTTACACATTTTGTCTAGCAATTTAATCTTTACAAGTTAATCCAAAATGTATACATTTTGAAGCCTATATAAAGATTTTAAAAAACACAATCAGACACAATAAAGTTTAAAAAAACACAAGCAGGTTATAACTGTGTGTTCTGTGTCATAGATCAAAACGTGAAAATATTTGTTCACCACAGACCTTATTTCAGGCGATTTAGCAAAAACCCATTCAAAAATCCCATAGGCTTTAGAGCGAGGGAACCGTAGTGCTAAAATGCTAACTCACTTCCGCGTTTTGGCCAACAGAGTGACGTCGTAACTTCGGCACTCTATAGCAGTGATTCTAAACAAAACTCAACCTCCATATGACATACAGTACAACGAAGATAAAACAAGCATTCATAATATTTATTTTTATAAAGTTAGCTGAATCAAAGTGGTGGATACTTTGTGGTGCTGTACGGCTATTTTGAATGATGCATTCATTGTTTTGACAGTATTGAATTTAGTTTTAGAGAAATGTGTTGCATGGCATAATGACTTGTGACATAATTGAGGACAAAGCACTTAAGGTTTGAAGCATCTATTGCTTCCATTAGTGTTATTTACCCCCATCAGATCCTGTCAATGGAATGGCAAACACTCCTTGTGTGAGTTAAGTCATTAGAAAGTTTCTCTATATGGAAATTACTTGCATTAAAAAACACAATTGCCAGACAGCCTGTCTTGTCTGTTTTATGCATTGTTGTTTTTTCACCAAACCATATCATAGAAGCGCCGTCAGATTTGAGGTTAACTTTAAGATTTGAGATGCAAATGCATGCATGGTTGGAAAACAGTGCGATTTCGTTTTTTTTACAGGGAATCGGTATATTTATATATGCAAAGGGGGCCAAAGAGAACTTAATTCAGTAATCGCACTCTGTGAACACGCACTCTTGACGTGCTTGAATGGACAAAACCACACAAAATTGTCAAAAAGGGCGTTTTGGTGAGTGCTTACAAGAATACAGAACCTTTAATGGCAAAAGTTGGAGGAAAAAAAATCAGTTTATTAGAGACATCAGTAGCAGTGATGATATTCCCTTTATTCATCAGTCTTTATGCTGTTTTTAACGTTAACTCATGTTGGTGTGTTTTATTTCAGATGCTCCAGAGACCAACATCGCAGTGTACCGGCAGATGCAGGACAGAGAGCATGTGATAGTGATGTGTTCATTTGGCAGGAGGTTCACTAAGAGCTCTTTCCAGCTGTCAGTGGAGGGTGAACACAACTACACACTGAAGGACCCACTGTGTTATTCAAATGAGAAGTGTGTGTTTGATGTGAAAGTGAGTCCACCTTTTTCCTTCACCTGTGTGCACGAGATTAATTCTGCGGTGAACCGTCGCAGTGAGACTTACACAGATGATCATGAGGAAGGAGTGTCTTTATTCTACATCTGCTTTTCCTCCTCCATTGCTGTTTGTCTCGTCATCATGACTGTGGCAGTGATCGTGACCACCATCAGAGGCAAATAAAGGAGAGTGTTTACACTAGTTACTCACAGTCAGATCAAAATCTATAAATGGAAATGCATAGCATGTGAGCATCTCTTAGAGCATCTCTGAAATGCTTTGTTATGCAATTAATTTTGTTTTGTTTCGTTATTTCCCTTAAAGAAGCTCAAAGACTAACACGCAGCCGTGGTTTTCTGAGCTGAAGATGCAAGTTTCTCTTCCTCAATCTTATTTCTGATGACGGCATTATCTCAATATAGTTCCCTGCATGCGTTTCTATGTTAAAATCTGACACCACTTGGTGTGAGATTCATTTTGACATGCAATGCTATATTAAGGTGTTGTGATTGTGTTTCGTGCGTTCAGGATTAGATTTGATCAGTCTTCAGCTTCAGTTTTATTTGAGGAAAAATCCTAAAATAACTTAGCAGATCTTAACTTAAGTTGTGCTTCAATACAACAGACTCAAGCCTAATTTTATTATATGATTTTTTTTCCTTAGGCATTTGTTAAGATTTTCTATTATAATTTAAGTGATGCAATTTTAGAACTGTGTTAGGATGAATTCATCACATTAGGATGAATTGCTTATGCTGTATTTGTATGTTTAGAAAAAAAATGTCTTCTGAATTAATATAATTTTTTTTTAATTTTTTAATATAAACATGTTTTTTACATGAAGATCATAACGATAAATTGTATGAATTAGAATGTGAATTGCAGGTTAATTGATGATACATTAACTAATAAACGCATACAAAATACAAAGTCGCAAAAAATGGATGTGGTTTTTCAAGATCTGGGAAATGAATATGATAAATAAATAGTACATTTATATACAATTATCTGTATATTGTCAAAAGTACAAATACACTATTTGTCCCAATTTACCATAATTATCATATATGTTTTGATTTCTAACTATATCCAGCAAGATTTCTACTAGCTGTGGTTTAATACTGTCATATGAGACTCATTTGAATCCTCTATGCTTCACTATATAGCTCTAGATAATATCAGAATATTAAGGAGAATATTAAGATGTCAATCTGGAAGTACAGAGAAAACAAAAAGTCTTGCAGAAATAGTTTCTAGTGTGACGACATCATACCACAACAGTTACACCAAGCCTATGTGTACATAAAGAACAAATGACACGTGTTGAAGTGTTGCAAAGTTAATCAATGCAGTGTCACCGGAAACAATGAACATGGCCACTTCCTGAGCTCACTTTGTGTGCAATAGGCCGGTTTACTTCTTCAAAATGTAATTATTTTGGTGTGGGTTTTTTTCTTTTATATCTTGATACAACATTATTTAGTATTATGTAATTTATTTCTTAATGATAACTTTTGCCACATTATTGTTTCTGAAAAACTACTTTTTAGTAATAATAACGGAAAATAGGATACAATTCATAACAAGTGAAGACATGTTTGTGGTAAAAGTGATTGTGCAGTCTGATCGGCAGTGATCATGACCCCTATGAGGAGCAAAGCTAAAGTTGTGTGTTTCCCCAGTAACTTTAAAATCTGCCGCAGAATTCATCATTATGAATACAGCAAATATCACAACCAAATTATAGAAGACTAAACTCATGGTCCTTTAGGGTGACCTGTATATGTTCATGATTGACAAGAACTGACAGCTATACACAAAAAGAGAATAACCCTGCATATGCTTTAGTTAAAACAAGTTCCTACCATGACATTTACCAGCAAAGACTATGAGAATGCATAATATATATATATATATATATATATATATATATATATATATATATATATTCCTAATTTGTAGATCATTTAAATAAAAGCTTCTGCTAAATGAATGTGTTTTTCTGCAGTTTTCTTACAGCTGTAGCTTCTGACTACATCCAATAGAGGGCAGAAGTAACTTTGGTTTGTGCTGAGTGATGTAATTTACTTAAAGGGAGAGTTCACACAAAAATTTTAATTCTGTCATATCATTAATTAGGCTACTCTGCTCCGCTGATCAATGGTAAAATGTGAATAAAAGCCTAAATTAAATATAGCCCCAGGCCTGGTTTCACAGACATGGTTTAGATTAAGCCAGGATTAGGCCTTGGTTTAATTACATAATAGCTTTTATAAAATGTGGAAGAAAACATTACTGGTGGGCATCTTGAGACTTAACAAATGGCACTGACATATTTTAAGATATGTCAGAGCAAGTTTCTTTCAGTAGAAATCTCAAACAGACTGTCAATGGGAGGACAGAAAACTCTCAGATTTCATCAATAAGATCTTGAGTTCAGAAGATAAACTAAAGTCTTACAAGTTTTGAACGACATGAGGGCGAGTAATTAATGACTGAATTTTCTTTTGTTTAATTTTCATCTAGATTTGAAAGCATTAGATCTCACCCTCCCTTCAGAGCGTCTTTAAAGAGATCGGAACAACTTAAAGACATCGGACTTGTACCACCTGACTGCTGCGGCTTCATTTATATATATATATTATATATATATTCCTAATTTGTAGATCATTTAAATAAAAGCTTCTGCTAAATGAATGTGTTGACTGCTGCGGCTTCATTTCGACGTTGAGTGTTGACATAGAAACGCATATTTCCGAGTCTGAACAGCTCAGTGTAGAACGTCACTGGCTGCCATCTCTTATGGTAATTATAACATGGTGTGAAAGCAGCAGAAGCTTGTTGTTGTTCAGGGACGTCGCTATTTAACTTCTGCCTAGCCCCCCTAAAAATTTGTGATTAATGTAGGTTACACAAATTCGTGTTCGCTTCAGTCTTGTTATAATCAGATTCAGCGTGTTCTTCATTTTCAATCCGCAGCGGTGCCGAGCAGAGAGCACGTCAGAAACAGTGTGTGTGTGTGTGTTCATCTAAGCCTCATTGGTCTGGTCTGTCACTGCTCATCAATTTCAGAATATTTGAGATGACAAATCAAATCAAAGTAGGCGAGTTTTATGTTTACAGACGCTGCTGAGCGAGAATTTTAACAATGCAACTCTGTGCGAGATAATATGTAAGTAGCTAAACTTAAAGGGTAATTCCACCGGAGGAGATATGAATATGTATTGAAAGTGGGTCATATATGTAGTAGAATAGTATCATAAATGTCTATTTTGGGTCATTCTTGGCCGATAAAAGGCAGAAAATGACTTTTTAGTGCTTGTGGATTGTAGACAACAATCCCCATAGTGCATTGCATTGCAATGCTCAGCTTCGCAGCTTTGTTTTTCAGATATGATTAATTTATTGCGCTAACAGCTCAAATCTATGGAAGCTTGTTTCCGCCATTGAATGAAAAATATAAAAGGTAATTGCGACTTTTTTTTCACAATTGTGAGTTTACTTCTCGCAATTCTGACATTATTTCTCAGAATTGTGTGATATAAAGTCAGAATTGCGTGATATAAAGTCGCAAGTGCGAGATATAAAGTCAGAATTGCGAGATATAAAGTCAGAATTGCGAGTTATAAAGTCAGAATTGCAAGATATAAAGTCAGAATTAGGAGATATAAAGTCAGAATTGTGAGTTATAAAGTCAGAATTGCGAGATATAAAGTCAGAATTGCGAGATATGAAGTCAGAATTGCGAGTTATAAAGTAAGAATTGCTAGATATAAAGTCGCAATTGCGTGTTATAAAGTCAGAAATGCATGATATAAAGTCAGAATTGTGAGATTTAAACTATTCTGAGGGGGGGAAAAGTTAGTCTTTTTTTCCCCTTAGAATTGGCCTAATAAGTCGCAATTGCGAGTTTATATCTCACAATGAGAAAAGATGTCAGAATTTCGACATATAAACTCGCAATTATGTGATATAAAGTCAGAATTGCGAGATGTAAACTCGCAATTGTGAGAAAAAAAAGTCACACTTCTGTCTTTTTTTCTCAGAATTGCGACTTTATATCACACAATTCTGACTTTATAACTCGCAATTGCGACTTTATATCTCGCAATTCTGAGAAATAAAGTCAGAATTGTGAGATAAAAAGTCACAATTATTTATTATATTTTTTTATTCAGTGGCGGAAACAAGCTTCCATACAAGATTACACTGAGTGGAACAGGTGGCCGGTTGAAGATGGCAGCTCCACGGCTCGTCCGTGCCAATAGGCAGTAGTGGTCGATGGGGCGTCTATCTATATGATGTCTATGCCCATGACAACGCAGCACGGTGTTCATCAGCTGAATAGCTGTTCTTACGACAGAAATATAATGCTGTTACCATAACGGTTGCAAATACATTTTTATTTTTACTTTACAAAAAAGCTTTTAAAACATGCGTGTATATGTCTGTGTGTCTCAACTGTAAAACTTTGGACCCTACATTACTTATCATTTCTTATGAAACTTTTCTTTATTTAAACATAACATGAAACAATTTGTACAGTGTAACTGATGAAAGATAAATTACAAGTTGAATGCCATAAAATGAAATCTGTGTATGTTTTGCAAAATAAATAAATACATAAAGTAGAATTTTAAGCTGTGTAAGCACCAGCACGTCCCAGCCGGGCTCGTCACTTATTTGGTTCCCCTGGACACATTTCTGTTGTGGTCTGTGTTATTTGCAGTGTGCTTCTGTTTTTGTGTTGTGAGCTTTTGCAGCACGTTTCTGTATTTGGGTGGTGTTAAGAGTATTTGGAGCTCACATGTGTTGTGAAACTGATGAAGACGTTTTCTGAATTTGCAGGTGTTATTACAATTTGCATACGTTTTTTTCTATTTGCATGCAGGGTTTTTTATTTGCATTCTTTTTTTTGTATTTGCATGCAGGGTTTTTATTTGCATGCGTTTTTCTATTTGCATGCGGGTTTTTTGTATTTGCATGCTTTTTTTTTAAATTTGCATGCATTTTCTTTTATCGGCATATGTTTTCTTCAGTTGCAGATCGTTGAGCTTTCTCGGCCACTGTAATTAGGGGTCTAAGCAGCGAAGATGCAGAAACCCTATTGTGTTTGAACTGATTGGCTACTTCTGAATTCTTCTTTATTTTTCTGCCTAAAAGTCTATGCGTGACAGAGGCCTTTGTGACACATGTGTGTTGCTCCAACCCGTTTTATCAAACTATATCAGTGAAGATTCAAGATAGACTCTGCTGTAAAATACACGTAAGATACATTTCAATTAGATCACTAATCATTCACATAGGCCACTGGTGTTTGGACCCTGATGACTGACGCTTGCAGCTATATATTGTAGGCCTACCTTATATACAAATAATATTACTTTTACATGCATTTAATGATACGTAGACTTGCATATCACGTAAAAAATATTCAGTGGATCAATACAGTACACACATGGCATTGCTGATGTCAAAGCAGAATAAGTTTTACGGTCCCACTTTATATTAAGTGGCTTTAAGTACTATGTACTTACATTGAACAATAAGTACAATGTATTATTGTGTTCCTGTTGTATTGTAAAACACTTTTGCTGCTATTGAGGTGTGATACGGGTAAGGTTAGGGACAGGTGTGGTGGTATATGGGTAGGTTTAAGGGTAGGTTAAGGTTTGAGGGGAGGGTCAACTGTGTAATTACAAATGTAATTACATAAATTAATTATAGCTGTAATTACAGCATGCTGGAATTTTAAAATGTAAGTACAATGTAAAAACATGTATGTACACAATAAGTCCATTGTATCAAATTATTAATTTTAATGTAATTACATAGTACTTAAAGCCACTTAATATAAAGTGGGACCAGTTTTACTTTTAATTTAAATACTTGTAATCCTGTGTGATTTCAAAGTTAAGTGATCTTAAAATGACAGACTTATAAGGAGTTTAAACTTCTAGAAGTTTACAGTTTTTTTGTTTGTTTTTTGACAATTGTGTGTGGTATAGGTGATACCAGGGCAAATGGCACTGTCACAAAACTGTGGTCTTGTGGTTGTGTGTTCTGATGTCCAGATCGACACAAATGACAAAAGTGCATCTTTAAACTGTGTAAAAATTAAGAGCTATATCAAGATATTGTGCATATATATTTCAATGATAAAATATGATACTGTTTGCTGCCTAATATATCTTGAAATCAGCTTGATTTTGGAAACCCAGCAGCAATAGAAATAGAAAATTAATGTTTGTCTTGAGGCATTTCTGCTTTGCCACTTCTGCTCTGCCTTTACTTGTTAAAACAGAGGAAGTCAGTGTCAGACTCATTCACTGTCACACATGTGTCTCAGAAAGCTGTAGCTCTCTAATCTATGACAGCATGAACCTGCTTTATGTCCTTTTATTGGTCCTTTTGCCAGCTTTCAGTAAGTGGATCACATTTCTCTGCTTCAGATTTTGTCTCTATCTACTGTAAGGACAGGTGTTAATACATTTTTTGCTGTGTTTTTGAACAGATTCATCTAATGCATGGTACCGATATTTCAGTATAACAGGTGCACCATCTAATGACTTTATACATTTTTCTGTCAGAAAAATATATAAAAATATTTTAAAATACAAAGATCAATATGTTATTATTATAAAGAAATCGCTGTTTTTGTACAGAGTCGCCTCACACATCTGAGCGTCCATATCTAAAAATCTTAATCTATTTAATCAATATACACTTTTCTGTCATTATTCTTAATTCTGTTTTCAGTTAATATAATCTGCACAATATTTTATATATTCAGTCAATATTTGATATAGTTAGTCAAACTTTTTTCATTTGTGAAATTGAATGTGAATAGTTGCAAGATGAAGGTATGTGAATGTGTAAATATGAGAGACTGTGGTAAAAGAAAAGAGTAAAAAGACAAGCGCACTGCAATATGGCTGTATCCCAGATGGCACACTCCTATCCTAAGGAGTTAATATTTTGTCATAATTAAACAAACAAATCCAGCATTTTGCAAACCAACTCAATCTGCTTTGCAAAGGAAAACTCGACTCACAAATATACAGAAAGCAATGTGCAAGTAGAAAGGTCAATTTAAGTAAAAATGCAGTGGAGTAATGTGTTTTGCAAATATAAATAAATGAGCCTAGATAATATTTTTTTTTGTTGCTGTGTTTTAGTTTTGTACAGAGTCGCCTATCATAACAACTCAACATCCATCGCCAGGTGCATTATCTAAAAACCTTAATCTATTTGGCTTTTCTGTCATTATTCCTTATTCTGTATTCAGTTAGTACAACTTTATATAATCTGCTAATTATTTTATATATCACACACGCACACACACACACACACACACACACACACACACACACACACCACCCTCATAGGCACTTTTGAGCTATCAATTTTTAATTTAAAGTACTTTGGCATGATTGTGCTATACACTAAACAATTAATGACAAGAAAATGAAATATAAAATTAAAAAATCTCACCAGAATTTCTTCAATGCACAACCAGTCTCGGCCTGTTGTGACACAGTTTTTTTTTTTTTTTGTTAAATTTATACAGTATGTAACATATTGCCTTTTACAGTGTCTGATATATTTTTCCATACATTCAGAAACCAGCCCCTTCCTTATCTACAACGAGGACCACAACAAATGTTTGACAGTCGTGAGTGCTAATGTAGAGGCTGCATCATGTAATGAATCATCTGAGGCACAGTATTTCAGATGGATTTCCTCTTCACGAATCATCAGCCTCTCTTTAGGTCTCTGTTTGGGGGCAGAGAAGATCAAAAACTGGGCCCAAATTATCCTTCTGCCCTGCAATGAGTCTAACCCCGGACAAACCTGGGAGTGTAAAAATGAGACCTTGTTTGGACTGAAGGGACATCCACTGCACCTGAACCATGGAAATCAAGATAACAAAAATATGGTGTTGTTTACTGGAACAGGTGTTTGGAGTCGCTGGCAGATTTATGGGACCAACGGAAATTTGTGTTCTCATGGATATCAAGGTACGACCAAAAGTCTAAAATATTATTTGGACAAATATTTGGGCAACCATTAAGCCCTTTATAATGACAAAATGTAACATTCATATTTATTGTCTAATGTCTATTCATATATAATGAATTTCCCTGTGTGATGTTAGCATTTGTTGAACTAGTTGACAGACATCAGTGTCCTTGTTGTTTAGATCAAATTCTTAAACCATTCTAAATTAAACTTGGACCCTTAATTTCATTCATTTATGTTCTGCAGAGATGTCTAGTATAGGTGGTAATTCATTTGGGAAACCATGCCATTTCCATGCTTGGGGTGCCATTTGGGACAGGGCCTTGGTAGGAATCTGCTACGACTGAGCAGTGGTTTCTACAAAAATCGTTTGAGCTGATCAATAAAGAAAAAGTACTTTGTGTCTCTTTTTTATATTTAGCATCACTGCCCGAGCCCAGATGGTCCACTCCACCATATTACTGGACCACTAGTGGTAAATCTTGGATTAATTATAATTTCAACTTTAATATAATATTAACAGATAAGCATAGACGTCAATATAATGTTTCTTTTTTTATCTGTACATGTTTCATGCCTTTATTCTGTATCTAATTAGTATAATAATATATATAGTCTGCATAATATTCTATATTCAGTCAGTATGTTTATCTGGTGGGTCTGTGAAAGCACTATATAAATGCAGTCCATATGTCATTTTTATAATTTGAATATAATCTGTCGGTCAATAAACTTTCTTACTGTTTTTGTTCAGTGTTATGAAATGAGTAAAATCTACTCAAAGAGCACAAAACCATCCATAACAATTAAAATGGAGCCAATCAACAAGATCCCTGGAGTCCCCTACTCTCACTCCCAAGGCTTCAAAACACTCTTTAAAGTGCAAAAAGTGAATTTATGAAACACAAGTTAATAAGGAGCAACATATTTCAGGAGGGGAAAAAACAAATAAAAAAACAAAGCTAACTAGTTGAAGGAAACTAACCCAGAAATCAGATAACAAACAAAAGCTTGCCTCCCTACTTATCACAAACAAGAGAAAACGAATAATAAATTAAAGAGGCAGCCACCTCCCTACCATGCTCCGATTCAAGAAGGATTGGGATGAAGGATAAGGCTTAACATAACAAATCATAAAATCATCTGAGCTGGTCAATAAAAAGGATTTGTGTCTCTTTTTTATTTTTAGAATCATCTTCTATCTCGCCTTTCATAACAACTCAACATCCATGGCCAGGTGCATTATCTAAAAACCTATCTAAATCTATTTAATTTACAGACTTTTCTGTCATTATTCCTTATTTTGTATTCAGTTGGTACAATTTTATATAATCTGCTGCACATTATTTTATATATCCATTCAATATATACATTTTATACATTTTAAAATAATATCTGTCAGTCAATATTTTTTTACTGTTTTTTTTTTCACTGACATCTGAAGCATTTGACATTTTTTCTCTTTTTATATGTAGGATCATCTTCAAAGCCCTGTGGATACTGGTACAATAAACCATGTTATTGGGCCATTAGTAAGTGTGGAGATTTATTATATATATATATATATATATATATATATATATATATACACACATACATATTTTTGACATTCAGCTGTTCAAAACGTTTCTCTTTGTTTTATTGCAGCTCAACCCAGCCACACGAGCACAACACATTACCAGAGTAAGTCCACAGATTTGTACTCTTGCAATGATGAATAATTTTGGGTATTAAAGTAAGATGACTTTTATTTACTGTATGTATATATATATATATATATATATATATATATATAATCAATATCATATATTTGACATTCAGCTGTTCAAAATGTTTCTCTTTGTTTTATTGCAGCTCAACTCAGCCACACGAGCACAACACATTACCAGAGACAGAGTAAGTCCACAGATTTGCACTCTTACAATGATGAATAATTTTGGGTATTAAAGTAAGATGACTTTTATTATATATATATATATATATATATATATATATATATATATATATATATATGAAATGAATGAATATTACTAAAGCACCATACATCACAGGTAGGTCTCATTTCTTCTTCTGTCTTCTATATTTAGTTTGTAAATTATGCTACTGGACTGGTTTAAATTGTCATAAATTCAGCTCTTCAAACTGTAAAAATAAACTCTCTTTATCTTAATGAAGCTCGACCCCCGTACAGGAGGAGACTGTATGTCCAGACGCCAAGTAAGCCAGCAGGTGACGTTTTGACATAATTTTGGGTATTAAAGAAAGAACTGTATTTTCTATTGTTCTAGAAAAAACTACAAGCATTATAAGAATACATTTTACAAATCCACAAATGCAGCTGGTCTGGTTAATGTTCTGTTATCTTAAAGAATTAATCAATGCACATTTTTAGTCTTTTGGTTTCTGCACTAACATTCTAAATATTTTACTGATTCATCTTGACTGTCAGTTTAGAACACAGTTTTGAATTAATTTAATAAGTATTAAGTAGGCTATGTCAATGTTATTTCAGATGCCCCAGAGCCCAACATCGCAGTGTACCGGCAGATGCAGGACAGAGAGCATGTGATAGTGATGTGTTCGTTTGGCAGGAGGTTCATTGAGAGCTCTTTCCAGCTGTCAGTGGAGGGTGAACACAACTACACACTGAAGTGCCCACTGTGTTATTCAAATGAAAAGTGTGTGTTTGATGTGAAAGTGAGTCCACCTGTTTCCTTCACCTGTGTGCACGAGATTAATTCTGTGGTGAACCGTCGCAGTGAGACTTACACCTACAGCCCATATGGTAAAACAACCTGAGAATACACATTTTAGGCTTACTATTAAGAAATGTGCATTGTGCAAAAAAGAAGCACCCCAAATAAAGAATAATTATCAGTATATTTCTATCAGTAAGTATCAAGTGATATGTCAGTAAATATGTTCGTAAAACATAAATATATTCTACAAATGGCACTTTCATTAAAGATAAAAGAAGTATTGTAATTCTAATGCCTATTACTTGCATTTTGGAGCTCTTTGAAATAAATCTCATACGGTATGTGCCCTGAACACCTGGGAGTGTAAATTTATATATTTTTTTCTATTATAGAATAATCATATGTATTTATCATGTTTTTTACATGGGAACTGTTCCAAAACCACATGTTTTCCATATGCAAAGTATGCGTTTCACATGTGACCACATATGTTTTTGCACATGTGAAATTCATGTGGTTTTGCTGGTCCTTGTGTTTGCTTTCAGATTTTTCTGCAATCTTGAATCATCGTGAGGAAGGAGTCTCTTCATTCTATATTGGCTTTTTCTCCTTCATTGTTGTTGGTCTCGTCATCATGACAGCTGCAGTGATCATAGTCACCTTTAAGAGCAATGCTAAAGGTGTGCATTTCACCCAAACAAATAATAATTCTGATATATTCATTTAAAACTACTGTATGCATATGTTGTAGTAGCACTTGGTTTTAGAAAAGCTCAAAAGAACAAGAAAACATCTCAAAAGCTGTCTTTTTGTCACAAGAAAAATATATTAAACCTGTTATAGAACAACAAAATTTTGCAACTTATTTCAATATTGTGATGATACTGTACAGTATATACAGTGATTAAAGCTTCAGTAATTATCTCAATTTGAGTTAAAATTTTGTCGCATACCTACCCTGGAGTTTGTCATTTATTTAGCTGTGTGTTTTGCCAAATTCATGCTGCTGTACACAACACAATATTAAATCAAATCAGACACAAAATAAGCAGAATGCATTTGTTTTTCAACAGGTCCAAAGATTACTGGGGCATCTGATGAATATATTAATGTATAAGAAGAAATCCAAGTTTCTGAAGAGGAAAAAATGGACAACTTATCAATTAATCAAATCAATTCAGATTTATCAAATTTTTGTATTTTTCCTTATTTTATATACAGTATCTCGCAACAGTGAGTACACCCCTCACATTTCAGAAAACATTTTAGTATATCTTCTCAAGGGACAATATTATAGAAATGCAACTTGGATATATTCAAGAGTGGTCAATTTACTGCTTATATAGCAATATATTTATACTTTCCTCTAATATATTTGTGAGCACCACTGTTATCTGGTTCTGCCTTAACCCTCCTGGACATGGAGTTCACCAGATCTGTACTGGGTCAGAAACTATTTATATAGAGACATGCCACTTCCTCAATCCTTAATACAACTATATAGGGGAAACCATAGACATCATATACAGATAGACGCCATATCGACCGCTACTGCCTACTGGCACGGACGAGCCGCGGAGACGCCATCTTAAACCGGTCACCCGTTCCACTTAGTGTAATCTGTGGCAGGTGATGTCAGCGCATTAAATTAATCATATCTCACTGAAAAACTAACTGATTTTCACGCGGGGGCTTTTTTTTTTTTTTTGCTGCAAAGGTCATTCATGTAGGCTAGCTAAAGGCTCTGGGCTAGCTATGATACAGGACACATGGTTCGGCGTATTTGAATGTTTTTTTTTTTATGTTTTTTTTTTAATTATTTTATAATGTTTCCTGGGTTGCCCTTATAATGTTAGTATGTTTTTTAGATAAAAATAGTCATAATTTAGAAATAAAAGGCATTTTTCCTAGCCTGATTTTAGCCTCTGCTTTGAACACTCTGTTTGAAGGGGCGTGTCTGCTGTGTGTAACCGGCCTCTGCTGTGATTGGCTGACATGCTTGCATATGAAATAGCTATGTATTACATGTGAAACATGTGGAACGAATAATTTTACTACAGCTATTATACGTTTTTACTATTACAGCTATCGAGATTAACGAATCGTGAGATGTTTTTGAAGTATTTAGATCTATTCCCATCACATAAAATGTTGCTGTGAGCAAGCAGAGGACGTACAGTCTGTCGATAGCGAGGATGAAGATCTAATCATTGTAACACAGTTTCTGCACTCTCTCAATGCAGACACGATCATGTAAATACGGTAAGAGCTTCGTTGTGCAGTGTAACGTGCGTCATTGAATTCATAACGAGTTTGGCAAGTGTCCAGATAAACTCTCGCTGTGTGGAAAGTTTGTTCTTTGATCGCTTTCTGTATATAATTTATTCACATTTAAATACGTTTTTTTTTTCATCCTACTAAAAGAAACGATGAAGATATTTTAGTCACTGGCCTGACTTACTGATGCATAAACAGTATTACCAGCTCTTGGCCCAAGTTGAGGAAACAGTCGTCGGTGAAATGTTTGGAAATATCCAGAGAAAATAAAATTAACCCATTGTTTCTTCAGAGGCTCGGATGAAGGAACTAAAAAATACTTTTGTGTTCATGTGTACATCCGAACACTGATCAACTGCCATGCTTCGGCTGCGCAGCTCCGTCTCGTCTATCACTGAACATGGGCTCTCATATGCAAATGTTTGGAGTCATACATATTAATGATCCCGACTGTTGCCTCACAGTCGGTATTATGAGGAGATTAGCCTGTTTTTCAGGGGTGTTTTTCAAAAATGAGATTTAAGTAAGAAGGAGAAAACAATGGTGTTTGAGACTCACTGTATGTCATGTCCATGTACTGAACTCTTGTTATTTAACTATACCAAAATAAATTAAATTTCACATTCTAGGGCACCTTTAATATCCATAGTTGGCTTAACAGTAATATAATATTCTGATAAGATATAAAGTGACCAGACACAATATGTGGGATGAAGGATATAATGTATTTTATAAATCACACACTATAAAATATGATTTAAAAAAAAGCAGAAACAGAGGAGGGGATAGAGCATAAGTTAATGCTGTATGCGGATGATATTTTGTTGTTCTCTCGTGATCCTCTCAAATCTTTACCTCCATTAATGAGCACTATCCAATTATATTCAAATGTGTCAGGATACAAAATAAATTGGGATAAGTCAGAAGCTATGCCAATATCTAGAACTTGTTATTCCCATACAGTGACCCAATTTGGCTTTAAATGGATTCCAAAAGGTATGAAGTACCTCGGGGTTAAATTAACACAGAATGTGGAGGATATAATGTTGTTGAACTATGAACCACTGCTGTCAAAGATAAAAAATAATGTGGACAAATGGGAACAGCTGAAACTCTTTGTGGGGTAAATATTGTAAATATTGTTAAAATGATTATTGCTCCGCAGTTCAATTATATATCCATGATGATCCCTGTGAACATCCCAGACCCTATCTTTAAAAGATATGACAAAATTAGTTTCTGAATTGGACTGGATCAAGATAGAACAGAAACTGGCCTCACCATTTCACCCCATTAGCATTCTTTCACAATGCTCTGGAGCTAAATGGGACTCAAATCCAGTGACAATACATTCAAGACATGTTTGGGGCAAAATTCATAAAGGGTGCAGGACTTCACATTATAAAAAATCATATGCATCATTGTGGAATAACCCTGAAATTCGTATAGTGGAGGTGTTTTGGAAACAATGGCAGCTTAAACGGGTAAATGTAATTGGCGATTTGTATGAGAACGGACTTTTTATGTCATATTCTGAATTGGTGAAAAAATACAATATTGGAGGTCAAGGAAACTTTTGGAAGTATCTGCAGATTAGACATTGTGTTAAGAACAAATTTAATGCAAGTAATAACCCTGTTTATGCCTATCTTGAGTTGCCACGTGTAGCTCAGAGTGCTTCTATGTGTTACAAATCAATGCTCAGTGTAACTGCAGATACCTGTAACAACCTGAAAACAATATGGCAGAAGGATTTGGGCATTAATATCAATGATGATGACTGGCGGTACATAATATCTAATGTGGGTAAGAATATAAGGGAAGTTAGGGGGAAATTCATTCAATACAAAATAATTAGGGCTGTGCAAAAGTTAATTGCGATTAATCGCATCCAAAATAAAAGTCTGTGTTTACATATATATTTGTGTGTGCTGTATATAATTATTTTGTATATATAAATACACACACATGCATGTATATGTTTAAGAAAATGTGTTATTCCTATATAAAATATTTATATTTATATAATATAGATTATGTATTTATATATATATACAGAATTTAAGAGCAAATAATTCTTAAATATATGCATGCATGCATAGGTATTTATATATACAAAATAATTATATACAGCACACACAAATATATTATGTAAAACAGACTTTTATTTTGGATGCGATTAATCGCAATTAACTTTTGCACAGCCCTAAAAATAATACATAGATATTATTATACACCATGGAAATAGTCTATGTTGGAAATGCAATGAAGAAGAGGGTACTTATTTACATATGATTTGGGAATGTTCTTTAGTTCACCCATTCTGGTGTAAAATTCTGGCAATACTTGAAGAGTGGATGGGGTCCAATTTACCTGTGGAACCACGATTATGCCTTCTTGGAGATAAATCAATGATAGCCAACATAGAAAAAAATAAATTTACCCTTATTAAGATTGGCTGTATTACAGCTGCCAGGATGATTTTGCGAAATTGGAAATGCCCCAAAACCCCAGACCTTAAAGACTGGGTTGATGGGATGATTGAAATTGCTTCATATGAGAGCATGTTGGGGAGACTGCATAATGAGGGAGAAATTAAAAAAACGTGGGACCATTTTTGGCAGCATATAAAAATGGTGTAAATAGGACTGCTCAATAACTGTGGTTTTGTTTTGGTTGTATGCCACTGATGGGGACTAGTGGCGGAATGTGTAATTGTAAAGGTGATTACTGAATAATGTGATGTACTATGATGTTTTGACTGTTGAACAATAAAAAAAAGTTGAATTACAAAAAAAAAATAAGTTGAAGAAACAATTTATGATTTGTGGCATGCACACACACGAACAGACACACAACAAACACGGACACACTCTCTCCTCACACACACACACACACACACACACACACACTTTCTCTCTCCCTCTCTCTCTCACACACACATACACTCTTATATTCATATTAGTTT